ACCAAAACAACATAAAAAACAAAGAATGCTACAAATCTGGGAAAACGTTGGTCGAAATCTTTTTTAAACATGTCCAGCATAGGACAAGAAATGTGTAAGTGCACAAAACATGGACACTTCGCAAAAGTATGCAGCTGGGCAAACGTCACTTTCTTACACAATAACTACGAGAGGCAATAGAAGAAGACGATCACACAAACGGAACAGAAGAGGATGACCCATTCGCTTTAGCCGACTTCATATCAAAAAACGGATGGGAAGCACTGCAAATATATATTTCCTCTGTAAAGGCAAAATCCAAATCTTTTGAAATCAAAAAATTTGGAAAATAACTGACTACGACCTGAATGGACACACAGTAAAAATAAATTCAAGAGCAAAATCCATACGTGCGATCGCCGTTTCTGGGAGTTCAATGTCTTTCGTGATTCCAAAGTACTGCACAACAACTGCAGTAAAATGATAACTCAACAATACTCAAATATATATCCACGGAACATGCAGCACAAAACTTAGCATGCTACAATGGAAAATTCATTATACCGAAAGGAAGGTTAACTATCACTCTCGAACCTGGGGGATGGACCAATCAATCAGCCCCAATTATCGTAGTCGGCAACCAAAAAGCAAATAAAATTGGGCGAAAGTTATTACCCTAGATCGGAACAATACTGGTACAAGAGAAACCAAAACAATACCAGATGCTAAATATGCGAGGGGATAAACGAGGGGATAAATCAACATGGAAATAAAAACAGTGGAAAAAGATCAGTTTAAGAAACTGTTCAAACGAATCGTAAAGCGAAAATGCTCGTAAAGAAAACACAGTTTCTTTAGGCCGAGTTTCCATTTCAACAGAAGCGACGTTCAATTTCAATTCACCTTTCACAGAGGGTAGAAGAAGAATGGAAAAACTGATAGATTAAAAGACATTGTGTAACTAGATAAATGCTTAGACAAACACACCGTTAGTCCAGTCGTAATCAACGTGAAAAAAGGACCAAACAGTGAAAATGGTATTAGACTCGACAAAAAATCAATAATTTCATTGCAAAAATTTATGCCTAATGCCAAACATTGAACATTTACTAGATAAATTTGCCCAAACAAAAAAAAAGCAGACGTAAAAGAACAAAAATTGTTCTCAAAACTTGATTTGCCCTATGCCTACACGCAAACCCCACTGGACCAAGGAACTCGAGAACAAGGCATTCTTAGTCCAATCCGAAGCAACGCTAGAGGGACGTATCAATTGCAAAAACAGGCTTCTACAGCCTCACGGATGTACCAACGGAAATTCAAAAACCAATTGATCTCACAATGACGATTCGCAAAAATACTTATGCATATTTAGACGATAAACTGATAGTAATCAAAGGATCGCTAGGACTACACAAAAGCAATAGAGATGAGGAAAACCTATCTCCAAATACAAGTGTTGGTTCGCGTGCAAACAGATAGAATGACTAGGATATAGTATAAACAGTGAGGTTGAAAAACTTATAAGGTTAAAAAGAGGCAATTGAAAAATTAATTCCACCAAAATCATTTAAGCATCTAAAATGGCTCAAGTTACCAACTCACGAGGTATATTTACACATTCATCATCTCACACAAACTGCCAATGCACTGCGTCCTCTCCTAAAAACTATTAAGAAATTTAAGACACTGGATTGGCAAACGAAGCATGAGTTAACATTTAACAAAATCAAAAAATAAGGTTAAGAAAAAACACAAAACATACCTTTCGACCAACATCTAAAGACCCGCCTGCTTTGTGGCTCATCAACCGTTGACCTACGAGCAGACCTAGAACAGCACACCACAGAAGGTTTGGTAGCAACAGCGTACTCGTCAAGACTTTAAAATTCACTAGAAGAAAACTATTCAACGAACGAGCTTGAGCTATTACGGGTACAATGGTCATTAAAACACTTCAAACACTTTTTAATGGGAAAATTTTACCGTCATCACAGACCACCAGGCTTTAATCAGCGCACTAAACGCAACCAAATGATAAAAAAAATAGGCTAACAACTTAGATTGACCGGTTAATCCCTTTTATCTTCGACATAAAACAGTTTGCGGGAAACAAGATGGGATTAATAGACTAGATGAACCGAAAACCGATTAGATTGGCAAATACCCCAGCGACAACAATGAGGAACTTGTGGTGGCGTGAATAATTTCAATCATAAACAATCTTGAGTTGATTGACAATTTTTTAAACAAAGTAGCCAATGAGAAGCGAGCTCCGAATCGGCTGATCAAAAAGCGCGCGGAAAATGAAAAAATGTTAACAAACCAAATCAAGTCTCAAATGCATTTCAAACTTTCCAAAGAACTCGTATGCTGTTAATCCAGTCAATCGATCAAAAACTCATCCAATATCCATTCGGAAACAAACAAAACGAAAAGAAAAACTAAATTTGCCGACTTAACCCAAATAGTTCCCATCCAAAAAACGATGAGACTAAATATTAATTACAAAGATTTGGAAGTAGGATTGATACCAAATGGTGAAAGTACCACCAACCGGAGCAGGCTAGATCAACGAACATAAAAAATTGGCAAGGCGAGTCAGATCCGGCGGAAAGCCTATCAGATCTTCATTGGCGCAGGAGATACGAGTACAAGTGAAATAAATGAACATTGAAAGAGTACGCCAACACCAGTAACGATCAAGGACGCCAGAGAGGCTATCACGTAAGCAACGGAGAAGAAAAAAACCTCATTTCCAAAAACTGTCTTCAGTGAAAACACCACATACCAAACGGAGCCTAACGAAGAAACGAAAATGGCGACGAAAAAAACAAAGCAAAAGATTGCGCCTACCAAAGGGAAACAGACAAATTGCAATTAACCACTTAAATAAAACTAAGAAACCCAAACAGAACTATCAATTGAGGTAAGCGGCGTTGATCCAACAATAGTCGTACAAGAAGAAAAACATCCAAATGTGGAACCACTTACAATGAAATCAACTCACGCGTGGGAAATACAATAGCAAACTCAATTGAGGCAAGTCACGAGATGAAACGGAGTGAATAATAACAACCGTCAATAGCAACCGTCAAAACCAACACTGAAATAGAGGAGGACACACCATTGTACATTAAAAACTTAAAGAAAGTCTTGGGGCTAAACTTCAATGCAGCGGCAACCCGAAAAGATCGAAATATGCGCCTGCTGCTTAGCTCGTCAAAAAACGAGACTGGGCAGCCCTCAAGTTGTCTTTTAGACAAAATGGGATCATTGTACGAAATTGGTTACACGTACGAGACGATTGCCTGTTGATAGATGAGGGGATTGTTCTCCCTACACAACTCAATTCGACAAACGGTGCTCGACAGTCTACACCTCACCCACCCCGGATTGGCGGCCATGTTAGATCTCTGCTAGAACGTCTGGTTTCCCCATATCCACCACTTAATTGTACAATTGGCACACGGATGCCGCCAAGGTACCGAACAAGGTAAAACTTTCAAATCTGTAATAGGCAAACAACATTCAATCTAAATGGAACCAATAGTTGAACCTAATGAAGAAGTACAATTTGATTTTGCAGGATCTCTCCCAGGCGAATCAGATAAACACGCATATAAAAGTGTTGCTATAGATAACTGGTCGAAAATCCCAACGGCTAAATTATTTTGAATACGACAGCAGACGTCGCATTGAAATTTAAGCAACCAGCACTTAAATTTCATGGATAATAATCGATTATACTGGATTTTCATTGTCAGTCTCCATAAAATAGCAAAAATAATCGATTATATTAGATTGAAAATGAAATAAATTGATAATAGTTTTTTAAGCAATAAAATCCCATTATATTCAATTATAATCGATTTTTTTCAAAAAATTTTATCAAAAAAAAAATCATCCATTTGAACTGATTATAATGGATTATGATCTATTTATTCAAATGTTTTTGAGTGTTGTTTTCATTTATCATAGTTTTATTAAGCTTAGGCTAGTGTTTTTGTTCTCTCGCTCAATTTCATTTTTTCCTATTTTTAATCGAGTTATAAAAAATTACAAGAAGTTACCTATAGATCCCACACCAACTCCTTCCTCACGCTTACCTATACTACAGTTAAATGTCCCCTAACTAGGGAAAAAGAGGGGGTATGTCGTTGATTCGGGGGTACGTCCTGGGTGGGGGGTACGTTGGGGGAGAAGGGTACGTTGGGGGGATGGGGATACGTGAGGGGGGTACGTCGTGGGTGGGGGGTACGTTGGGGGAGGGGATACGTTGAGGGGATGGGGATATATGAGAGGGGTACGTCGTGGGCTGGGGGGGGGGGGGGGTACGTCGTTGGTTGGGGGGGTACGTTGAGGGGGATACATTGGGGCGATATCCCCTAACTAGAGAGAGATGCGGGTTTG